TCTAAATGGGTATGAAATTAACATCAAATTACTCATGTTCATCGCTGTGATCATTTTTTATTGACTTTTTAAGTGTTGAATTGAAATTGAATTGCAATTACTTTATGAGATTTATCGCAATTGTTGGGATGCAGGTATTATACCACCCGTCTTTTGATCGGAACTCCACCTCAGATGTTTGCTCTCATAGTGGATACAGGGAGCACTGTTACCTATGTTCCCTGTTCTACCTGCGAGCAATGTGGCCACCATCAGGTCAGTGCAAATCTGAGAAACTTTTCCGGATTCAGATCCATTTACTAAATTTATCTATGAAGTTTATTTTTTATTTCTGATTTTTTAAGAATGCAAGACCAATCTCGAGTGTTTAACTTGTGTAACTGGAGATGTCCATAGGGCACATTGCGATGGTCACTGCTGGGAAGGATTTTAGTTTTCTGTAAATGTAGTCATTTTCCATAAGTTAAAAGGGTTTTTTTGTCATATTTAATGCACGTAAACAGTATGGTCTTGTCGGTGAGAACCCACCCTCATGCCCTAAGCTTCTGTTTTCTTCCTTCTTATTTAGAATTCATGGAAGTCAGGATAATTACTGTGAAGAATAAAAAATACAGGAGAAACTGGGATGGCTGTATGGAAATAAGAAAATGGTTTGTCATTCCCTTCCAGATGTTCTTGTATTTGAAAAGAGGACAGTCAAAATAATTCATGTTTCTTTTGGATTTTTCTTCTCGAGCCTTTCATTTTCTTTAAAACAACAACTTGTGTGGTTATTTGCATGCTGCTGTTTGCTTTTGACGTATTTCTTTTAGTCTAGTATATTGATTTATTTACCTTTTTTTGTCCTTGATCAACGGTTGAATTGTGTGTTTTACAGGATCCTAAATTTCAACCTGATCTTTCAAGCACCTATAAACCTGTGAAATGCAATATTGATTGCACCTGCGACAGGGACAATGACCAATGCATTTATGAAAGGCAATATGCTGAGATGAGTTCTAGCAGTGGGGTGCTTGGCGAGGACATTATTTCATTTGGGAACCAAAGTGAGCTCAAACCTCAGCGAGCCACATTTGGTTGTGAAAATTTGGAAACTGGTGATCTTTACAGTCAACATGCTGATGGCATCATGGGGTTGGGTCGTGGAGACCTCAGTATAGTCGATCAACTAGTTGAGAAAAAAGTAATTACTGATTCCTTCTCTTTGTGCTATGGTGGGATGGATATTGGTGGCGGTGCAATGGTTCTTGGTGGAATATCACCTCCTGCCGATATGGTCTTTACTCATTCAAATCCAACACGGAGGTACATATTCGATGTAGTAGTATTATAACACGGACTGTTAGGCTCTCTCCTAACAATTACACTTTATCAATCTTATGCATTTACTCTAGTCTCGGGATGGCAACAGCCCATATTACAATATAGAGCTGAAGGGGATGTATGTTGCTGGGAAAAAGCTATCTATCAACCCACGGGTCTTTGATGGAAAGCATGGAACTGTCCTTGATAGCGGTACCACATATGCTTACCTACCAGAAGAAGCATTTAAAACATTTAAGCATGCTGTAAGATGGATCTTACTATGATTTATGAGCTTATTTCTTGATTATTCTGTGACGCTTTCGGACATTGAAAACATGAATGATAATCTAAATTGTTTAATGAGTAGATTTTGTAAAATGAAATTTACATGCGAATATTTTGTTCAGATCTTAGTTATCAGTCATGACGTCACTTTGCTGGGATGCCTAGTCCACTAGGTGACAGTTAAGGACAATTTATAAATGAGAATTGTACTACATTGATACCATTAATATAAGTATATCTCATAATGCAGAGTATATTCCAAGTTTAATACTTCATTCATTACAAAATTCTACAATTGACTGGAAACAATTATTATTAAAGGTGAAAGTGTGTGGTTGATTTTTTTCTGCAGAAACAAGATATATGGTATAAATCACACAATTTCATCCTTAGACAAGAAAGATGAATCTTTTTCTATGATTAACAAAAAAGAAAACCTGAAACTTTTTTATGGGACGAATGGATTACTTAGTTTTTAAGGAAACTAAAGGAAGTTAATACTAAGTTTAATATTGTGCAGTTCAGTGTATTAGAAAACGCTGTTTAATGATACTCCACCTTTGTGATCCATTGTTTCTATGGTAAAATAATCACTTTTCGGAATATTAATAAAAAAAGTTGTAAACATCAAAGGTCGATTCAGGCGGTAGCAAAAAAAGTTTGGAACACCGGACAGGTCTATTCAGATCTGGGACTGACCAGAACCGATTAGGGATGGATCGTCTCGGATCTCATGCGGAACAAGTAAGACTCTCACAGTCTCACCTAAGCACCAGCCGGTGCCAATTCGTTGCCTTGGAAACACCAAGGTTCTTCCGGCGAAATCAGTTGAGTTGAGAAGCCATGGTGTGAGGTCTGGACCAACTGGACGCCTAGTTGGCTAGTTTCTGTCTAGTCGTCACCTAGGCGACACTTTGAGTACTTTATACACAGTAAATATTTATGATTGCCAAGTATACAGATACATATTGTGAATATATATTTTTTGGAACTCTATTGCTCTATTTTGGAGCCCTCTTTTATGAGGTTTAGCATATGGTAATGGCTCAATATTAGGAAAAAAATTATGTATTGATATTTACTAATATGGACTTCTATTTAGTGTCGCACAGTATTTGTGCAAATGCAGACCCAAACCACAATGACATTCTTTCTAAGTAGACAAACAAGATTTGTTCCGGATGCTGAACTAATTATGTTTGTACTTCCAGGTCATGAATGAAGTTCGTTCACTGAAGAAGATTGATGGCCCAGATCCAAACTACAAGGATATATGTTTTTCTGGTGCTGGAAGGTCTGTTATATAGAATTCATTAGAAACGGGTACATGTGTGTGAAGATAGCTATGCTGTCTTTGTTCCAAAGTCTAAAAATGCTGTTTTAAGCCTTGATGTGGTGAGTTTATTTGAGGTGCAAGTCTCGTGGCAGTATGAGGCAAAAACCTTTAATTAAACTTTATACGGCTATCTTTTATGTTTAGCTGAGTGATTTCTAACACAATATTATTTTATAAAAAAAACATGCCAAAAGATTACACTCCTAAGCCACAAGCTTCAAAAAGTGTTTTAGAAACACATGATCACACTTGCACAGCCTAAAATAATTATGCTGCTAACAATATTTAAATTGGGTCATGTTATTTTGAATCGTTATAGTCCATACAACAACAAACTCAGTAAAACCACACAAAAGTAAGGTCTGGTGAGGGTGTGTGGACGCAGCACATCTTACCCAGTTACCCCTACTACGAAGTAGAGAGGTTGTTTCCAAGAGATCATAGGCTCAGATAAAAAAGTATGAACGAAGAAACTACTGAAGTGCAGACAAAGACAAAGAAGCATACAAAATCACTCTTGGAATTAAACATAAAGTACCTAGCTAAAAAACATATAAGCTCACATACAAACTAAGGCCTGAAAACACACCAGAAAACAAAACTACAAACAAAAGCACTTACGTCTACCCAACTACTCTAATCCTGGATCTCCAGGCATTCCTATGTAAGGCAATGCAATTACGCTTTTAATTTCTCTACTTTTCAGTGTGAATATAAAAAAGAGGTGTGATAAGCTTAAGCTATAAAGTTGTGTGAATATAAAATCCGAAGATCAATGCTGATCTCTATCAATGATTTTTTGATTTTTTTATGGGACAAAGAGAATGATAATCAGGAAATAATTAAAAGATTACCATGGATTTAAGAATAACACTCCCTCCGTCCATAAATTTTCTTCCCACTTTCCTTATTAGTCCGTCCATACATTTTCTTCCCGTTTCCTTTTTTGCATACTTTCTAATGTAAAATGTCGTGATTACCCTCAAATCCACTTCTTTCCCAAATCTCCTGCTTCAGATGTAAGCTTCCTCTCTCTTTGAATGAAGTACCCGTCAGATCCTCTCTCTTTGAATGAAGTACTTGTCAGTTTTTCTGCTTCGTCCCCCAAATCTCTTTTGCCCAGATCCTCTTCTTCCCCCAAATTTCCTAATGAAGCATCTCGGTATCTGATGTAAGACCAAATTTCCAGATCTAAAGCTCCACTATTTTGAGACTGGCATAATTTCCAGAGCTTCATGCCAACAAGCCCAGATTCCCAGATCTAAAGACCATGAATGATTATAGGCGAGCACGAGGTTGTTCCAGAACTTTGGAATCTGGGACCGTTGCTGTTAATTATGTGAACTAGCGCTGCCACTTCAGAATCTGGGATTGTTACCGTTGTTACCTTGCTTTCCTCGTCGCTGCCACCTTGCCTTTCTTGCCAGTCGCTGCTTTGGCTTCCTCACCCATTCGAGAATATTTTGCATAAAATATGGGAGTGGTGTAGAAAGGGGAATTTTAGGAAAGTCAACACAAATTTCATTTTTCCTTAATATCTGTGCCATGTCAAACTGGGAAGTAAATTTATGAACAGAGGGAGTACAAGATCAACATAATAAGCCTTAAGCCTCGTATATAACTCTTAGTCTTCTGAATCTACAACACCTAGGGTTAGCCCAATGGGTTCCAGAACCACGGGTCGAGCTGAGTATTATAAGTTCGGAGTCTAATGGGTTTGTTCCCAAATAAGATGGGATGAGGTGGATCTTCCGTTTTGGAGAACCTGGTTGATTCCTAAACTTTTTAGAATAGATACACGTATCCGTTCTTAAAAACAATCATTTTTGGATTAAAATATTAAATACCCGAGTAACATTTTTAGAAATAAAACTATCCCACCTTGTATCAAAACTTAATGCTATCTGAAGAGTTGACATTATTTTTACGATTATGTAATCTTGACAACCATTGTCGGGCATTTGAAAATATGCACTTTCATTTATATTTTGTTTCATTTGGGAGTGTTGAGAAGTATTGCTATTGTGCTAATAATTGTGATTGTTTGCTTTGTTTTGTGACTTTGTGGACCTTAATAAGCATATACTCAACATTTTATTTTTGGAATATTTATGGTTTATTATTTTTTGATATTCAAGGAATTGTTACCCAACCTGACCCGGTTCAAACTGACTCGCACCCATACCTAACAACACCTCACTCATCAAATGTGTAAGCCACACACATCATGAAATATAGGTGTGTCATCAAATGACCCAAGCATGGGTGGGGTACCAGTTGAGGCCCTATGCTTCAACCAGTTAAATAGACGGGTTTGATCATTGAAGTGAAATTTATCCGATGGCGTTGGACAAAAAATTTGGCCATGTCCCCCGACAAAATGAATGGATGGGCTTGGGAATGATACAAAATTAGCGGATCCGCCCAAATAAATACTCCGTATATTGATATATTTTTTATTAACTTTGTTAGTAATTTTAAATTAAAAGAATATTGTAATTTTGTGATATTAAAGAATAAGGAATTTTAATCTTCAAATAAGATAAATTTTATGAATTGATCAATTAAATGTTATGTTAAAATCTATTGATGTGAAAGGGTGTGAATGTGTCATGTTATGAAATAGAAGTAATTGAAATGTGTATGTTACGATGAATGTGTGGGTACACTAGAATTGACAGAATAAGAAAGGCGATAATCCAAGAGAAAGTAGAAATGGAATCTATCAAAGATCAGTTGTAAGAAGATCGACTGTGGTGGGGCTTGGACATACAAAGAAGACCTAATGATGACCTAATGATGCAACAGTTAGAAGACAAGAGGGGGTGGATAAGTGAGTTTTGCAAAAGAGGAAGAGGGAGACCGAAAGAGATGTGGGAAGAGGTGATTATGAGCGAATCGGTCTTATATGAATTAGGGAAAGTGTGTGGTTAACTGGATATAGATAGAACTCATAGAAGGAAATTGTGAGAGAGCATCTTTATGAATGACCGAATGCGATTCTCTTAACACTGGGTTACTTGGGATAAGGCTTAGTGAGTTGTACTAGTAGTTGTTATTGATGTGATAAATTAATTATAAAATATTGTTGATTAATTATATACTTTATTAGTTATTACAAATAGGCGAGTTTGCTCGCTCAGAAAATAAATAAAAATAGATGAGTTTGGGCCGGTCTGGGTATGAAATAAAAAAACAGGCAGGCCTTTGTCAAAATAACAAACTTGATCAATCTGGCATGTGCAAGCAATTTTTTCCCCAGGTCCAATTGGGCCCGGCCCAAACTGCCTAAGCCCTAAACTGCTCAGGCTCTGGCAATGAATCATTTGACACTTTAATGCTACCATGGTTTCATGCACACCTCAAATTAAGGAAAGCCTCACAAGCGTTTTTTACCATGCTTTGTGCTACTATTGAATGCTCTACATTTCATTTTTCAGTGACATTTCCAAACTTCCAAAGGCATTTCCATCAATTGAGATGGCATTTAGCAATGGACAGAAACTATCACTTTCTCCTGAAAACTACTTGTTCAGGGTACGCATTTTTTTTATCTTTTCGTGGCTCCTGATTATGCTTCTTTTTAAGTTTCCATGTCCAAGTGTTTGTTTCTATATTAAGTTTTTTCTGATTTATTCAATCTTGGTTATGTAAAGCATTCAAAGGTTCGTGGTGCTTATTGCCTGGGGATTTTTCAGAATGGGAAGGATCCTACAACTCTTTTAGGAGGTATCTACTGATAAAGTTCAACCATATTCATATGCCCAACTGGTTTCTTCTAATCCAGCTCAATTATGAGCCCAGAATGGCTTTCTTTTAACTTGAATTTATATAATAGGGATTGTCGTCCGCAACACACTAGTAACATATGATCGTGAAAATGAAAGGATTGGTTTTTGGAAAACTAATTGTTCTGAGCTATGGGACAGACTAGGTGTACCTAGCGCACCTCCACCTTTGCCTTCAGAATTGACTAACCAGAATTCAACTGCAAATATGGCCTTGCCTCCTACTGAGATTCCAAGGAACATTACTTCAGGTATCTTTTAGACTCCTATGCTACTTTTCTCGATTCAAATATTAGTCTTTTTTTCCCTTCTCTGAGGTAAAACTGCATTCACTAAATTTAAAGTGATTTTCTGAAACTTGAATGTCACTTTTTTTTTTTTAAAGTTTTGGCTTACATATTCCTTCTAATGAGTGAATTATTATTTTCCTCTTGGTTCATGTAGCCAGCCCCAAGTTACTTGGGATAAAGCTTTGTAGTAGTAGTTGTTTTATTTTTATATTAATTGGCTTTAGTTTGAAATAGAAATATAAAGAGAGTTGCCTCATGATCTTTGGTTTGGGCTTTGTGGACTATCGACAATATTTGAGTCTGTTAATATAAAGATATGTAGCTGTGTATTGAAATAATGTTCCTAGTGATGTGGGTGTGTCTTTGTTCTTGAGCTGCATGGAAGTGATGGAACTAAAGGAGTCTTTTTCATATTAATATATTACTTTTTATTATTGGTATGAATATTATTTAGTAATATTATTGTTAATTTTCTTTTATTAGTATTAGTAGTTGTTTGTTATGAGTACACTAGTGATCTATTTTAAATGATATTCATACTATCAATATTATGGGTAGGTTAGGAGCACTCTAATACTTGTTCATTATGACTCTTGGGGTTAAGTATAAATATAGGATTTGTACTCATTGATTCTCCACAAATCAATTGGTTGGAGTAATAATCCTGCAAGGCTAAGGGCATGGCCTATGCCTCATCATTCTCTGCTTAAGGTCAGAAGACTTGGTTCTTTCTCCAAGTTTATCCACCACATTTCTTCCATTCTTCTAATTCTTCTTTCAACCACGTCTTTCTATCCTATCCCTTTATTTTTTTCCCTCCATCCCTTAAAAGATACTCCGTAAAAAACAAAACAAAATTGTCCTTTTATGGATAAGAGGCAACAAGCACCAAATTTATGTGCCATTCAATCAAGGTTGTTAACCCATGAAAACAAGTATGTCATTTCTTCCTCTTTGTCTTGCCGGCACCAATATCTCCATTGGCTGCTGTCGAGGTGTTGATATTTACTTTATGGTGTGTTTTTTAGAGAGATCGAAATGATATTGATTTTGGGTGTTAAGGGGACACTAGGATACTGAGGCTCCATGAGCACATGGTGGTCCACATGGAGTGGAAGATGAGGATACTTTCTGGATAAACTTATGAAGCTGACCTCAATAGTGTGGGATTAGAGTATTAGACTCTCTGAGGTCGTTCTAGATTACCCAGAATTTCCCGCAAGGAAAGTCATTACTGGTCTTGTTTTGATAAAAAGAACTATAGGGAACAATTTAACTGCAAATCAAATTGCCACTGTTATACAAAACTCTATATCTAAGTTCAATTTCATTTATTTGATATTTTGAGGTCATATAATGGGTTAGATTTATATTTTTTAATTTTCAATTTTTAGGCTGCATAAGATCATACAGAGTACATTTTGAATATGAAAAAATATATTTCAAGTGTCTTGCTTAACCCCGCAAATGAACTCAATATCATTGTCACATTCCACTTGCACTGATAATTTGATACTTATGTACTTAACTATAAAATGACAATATTATATCCAGTGTTATCGGTGGCTCAAACGGCGCATGTCAGAAATGTGCCATTGGCGTTTTGCCCTTCAATCGCCACAAATATGCATGTGGCGAAGTATCTTCTTGTGGCAACGCCATTCATGCGCCATCGCCATTTTTTGGCCCAGTTCAGGTCCAAGGTAGTCAAAATTAACCCAGGGTTTGCGGTTCACTCGCGAGAAAGAACAGGAATAGAGATGTTCTGGATCGGCGCTGAGATCGTGAGCAACTGAAAAACTATGCGACCTTTAGGTTTTGATGGAAGCAACAGTTTACTTCTACGCTGCTTCTGCTTTTAATTAGAAGCACAATTTGGGCTCAAATTCTTATTGGGCTCAACTTGCTGCTAATTTCTTTTTTGCTATGCTTTTTTCTAATATTTTTTTGGGCACGGTTCCGTTGACACTGGCCAACGGTACGACTAGCGGTACCACTAACCCACCCCCTAAACCCCCCACCCCAGCCCCACCCTAAGCCCCCCTCCAAATGTCTGGCTATTATGCAATATTGCAATGCATAATGGTCACACATTTGGAGGGGATAAAAGGGGGGTCTAGGGTGGGGTGCAAGGGTCGGACTGGGGTGGGGGTGGGGTGTTTAGGGAGGGGGTTAGGAGGGGTAGTGTCATCCGTTAACATTGTATGCTAGTGTCAACAGAACCTTGTCGTACTTTTTTACATTGAATTAAGTTATGTTTGTAGATAAAAATGTTTTAGGTATTTAGGAATCAAGTTTTGAATTTTTCGTGACAGTAAAAAAGTCTTACATTTAGTGTCCTGTGGTGACGCCATATTTGGGCAATCACTATATGATATTGGCCCATCTCCATGAATGTTGCCATGTGCCATGACAACTATGATTATATCTAATATCTTCATAATTTATGAACTAGAAAACAATGAAATATGAATATGCATTGTCATTAAACTAGGGGAAATTTCAAAGAACTGGAAACAAGGAATGTAAGTAATCTTGCATCTGTTCTATAATTCTTGATCTTGCTCACTCCCTCTGTCTGATTGTGAACTTCCCCAATGTCCAGCAACTATGCAACTTCAGTCACTAAAACCATATTCTGGACTAATATTCCTTTCTTCCAAATATGTAAGTTGTGGAGATGTGGATTGAGGGGAGCCTTTGGGAATGCAATTTCCAACTTACTGCTTCATCTAATATTAAAAGAGAATCAGGGGGAAAAAATACGAGCAAAAAGTTGAGGTCAAACTCAAAAAAGCCTTAGGTTCATATACCAACAGTATAAAGGTGAATCCAATATGAAGTGTAATTATCCGGATCTACTGCACGATATGTTCGATAGGTGGGTTATTAATTTAGCTCTAAAGCTGTTCGTGATGTAGACATCAGAAGAAGTTATAGGCCCTCTGCTCTTCCAACTGGAGTGGTTGAGTTGGGTATTTGCAGGTGAATCATATAGAAGCATCTGTTTAATATATATGCAGAATGCTACTTCAGTCATGTTGAGTTTAGTGAAGTAAAACACTGTCAAGTTACCTGTCTAACTTGGTCTAAGAAAGCTAAAAGTGTCATTTATGTGTGTGTATATTTGTTTAGCATTTTGACATCCTCATAGTTGTCTATCAGAATTTTATGCCGACAAAGTAGGGGTTTGATTCTCCGTATATTTTGCCTGTTATTGGTGGCCTTGACTGGTCAGCCTCGTCATTAGACAATGTTTTGTTTACCCTGCTACTGCTTTTTTTTGTGTTTGTAATTGATATAAAACACTCCTCAGGTTGCTGAAAAATACTGATACTTACAAATATTTAATTATTCATATCATTAAATATGTTTGTGCTAGTGTTAGAATGGAAGATAATGAAGTGATCTGAATGCACGTGATATCTTAATCTGCAGAGGAAATAAAAGTAGGCTATCTGACGGTATACTTGTCACTTAGCAAAAACTATTCAGATCTGAAGCCCAAAATTTCAGAATTTAACAAATTGATTGCCCAGGAGTTGCGTATTAAAATTTCTCAGGTACATTGATGTTGAAATAGGAATTGCGACATGTCTGGATAGATTGGTTTGTCTAATCGTGTTGGGTTTTTTTTCACTGTATGCTGTTCTTCTATTGCAGGTCCAGTTATTAAACTTTTCATCAAGCGGAACTGAATCCCTAATTAAATTGGCTATTTTTCCTATGAAACCTGCATATTACATGCAAAATGCCACTGCTATGGTCAGTTTCTCTTCTTGCAATTTATACTTATCTGTTTTTTAAAGGGGGTTTGCAGAGATATCTTGTTATTGTTGCCAGGAAATTGTCTCAAGGTTAGCTGAACATCGTTTGCACCTTCCTGAGAAATTTGGAAGTTATAAATTGCTGGAGTGGAGTGTTGAGACCCCTCAAAAACGGTAAAATTTCTGATTCCATTATCTGCTTCTTAACTACTTCGGTTCATGTCCATACTACCCTCATCCATGCCACGAAGTCTTAGAATGCCTATGTTGCATTTGATATTTTATTCAATTATTTATGTTAAGTGATTCTGAGTCAACACTGATTGGGCAGATGTAAAGTATCAATGTCAACCAATTAGTAGCTTAACATTTACTAATAGCAACATTCCAGATTTCCAGGTCCAAAAGGCATACCAGACAGTACATAAGCAGTTTTTGGTTTATTGTATATTTTTTGAAGTCTTATTCCCATGTGCAACATGGATGGGATCTCCTCTTCATTGGATGTTGCATTTCAAACCATAAGAATTCACTAGAAGCAGAAATGTGGACTATATGGAAACAATGGGACTATGGGAGTGAGCCTGAAGAGCAGCACCACGTGAACCTGCCCCCTCATTTCGCCGATTAGCTATAGTGGTCACTGTAGCAAATCGGCGAAATGAGGGGGTTGAGGGTGCGCAGGGGGTATAGGAACCATCAATTTTACCAACGGAGCCCCGTAGGAGGCTCTGGTCATGCTATGACATTCAAAGTGAATGTCACATGAACCGTGTTGCGGTTTCTAACGCAATTGTAGTATGTGATTGGGTTGTATTGCAATTGTGCAGGACATGGTGGCAACAAAATGTGATGGCTATAGTTGTCGCATTAGCAGTTGTAGCGATACTTGGATTATCAGCTTCGTTGGGATGGTTCATTTGGACGCGTAGACAATCACCCATGTCGTATAAGCCTGTAAATATTGCAAGCCCTGAACAAGAACTCCAACCTCTATGAAAATATATATATAGTCTGTACTAGAAAACCGGGAACTGTATTTCTTTCTTTTTAAACCCGAGTTACAGGTTCATGGAAGTTTTGTCTTTGCAGTGGTCTCCAGATATGTAAGTGAATGTTTCATGATATCTTTAAACTAAAAACCATTTCAATTATGTTTGGTCCTTGTGCTGTTATTTCATTTGCATTATGTTTGGTTCAAGTAATTTGGAAAGAAAAGAAAATTAAAAGTTTTTTCTCATTTTCTTCACCAAAACGAGAGAAATTTGGTTTTTCCACATCTTAATAAATTTTGTCTTATTTTTTTTCTTTATATCCAAACAAGAGCTATTTTCTTTCTCGTTTTCTTTTCTTTTTCCTTTCAAATTTCTTGAACCAAATAGTGTTGGTCTCTTGGGGACTAGGTGGGTCCATAACTTGCGTTTGATATATATTCATAGAGGAATTTAAACCAAATAATGGTTTGTTATTGATATATAATAATAATAATAATAATAATAATAATAATAATAATAATAATAATAATAATAATAATAATAATAATAATAATAATAATAATAATAATATAACAACAACAAGAATACTAATAAGAATAATAATACTCCATCCGTTCCACAAAACCCTTCCCCTTTCGTATTTTTTGAATTCTCTAAAACACTTCCACTTTCTATTAAAAAACCACTTTTATCCTTACTTTTTCATACCCTACCTATCACATCATATTTTTTTCTCTAATAACCAAACTATCACATCTTACTTTTACCCATCACATCAGGGGCAAACTTGAAAAGTCAACTAAAATTATACTTTTCTTATTTTTGCCCAAAGTCAAAAGTGGAAGGGTTTAAAGGAACGGAGGGAGTAATAATTAAAATTATAAGATTAATTAAGACTTTGGTGTGTAGTTTTAAATAAAGTAATGCGATTCAATCAAACAGTAATTATTATTTAATCCTTGAAAATATATTAATAAGTTTTTTTTATTTTTTCATGATTTGATATTATTGGATTTGGTCGCATCTATTTGGATTTGGTGTGATCTGATTGGAACATATCTAATCCGATTGGATTTGATGTGATTTTATTAAATATAATCTGATTGAATCTAATTTGATTGGACCTAATCTGATTTAAATAAGAGTAAACAGAAAAAATAAGTCACGTGGAATGGACCCTTAGGACATGTTCTCCTCAATTTATTTTTTTACTTATTACTTATTCTTATTGGAATCAGTTCAGATTAGACCAGATCAGATCAGATTAGAATAACTTTAAATATAACTACATTCTCATCAGATCAGATCGGAAGAAATCAGAACTTATTCCTGATTTCTAATTAGATCAGAACTAATCAGATGAAGAGAACATGGCCTTAAGCTCTATACTTTTCATAAAGTATGTGCTTTCTTCCTGAATTTTCGAAAGTGCATCATTAATTTGATACGCTCTATGTCTTATTATATTCGTCTAGGTTGACTTTTTCTAGTCAAACAGAACAAACCAAATCATTTATCACTCTCAATTTATAATGTACATAAATAGAATAATTTAAATTTTTTTTAAAAAATTCAACAAGATGAATCAAATTAAATGATTTTTATACCAATATACATTACAATGTTTATTTAATTTAAGTGCCAAGTTTGTCTAGTCTGACTCAAAAGAGTCAAACTGGACGTAGGTAGTATTTTAAAAAATGTTTCATGGTTCGAATTCTAAAATTTCTCTTAGTTGAACGTCTTTAACAAAACTTACTTTGATAAGAAGAGAAAATAAACTTGGAAGGCATAGTTGCTAGAGTTTGGTGAAGACGTGATTGATGAATTTATTTTTTTCAAAACACTAGATATGAAGGTTTTTCAAGAATTTATCTTTGTGGAGTAGCATCTTTAACAAAACTTGAAAAAAAAACTCATAAATTGGATCTTCATTAAACTCTAACAACCGTGCCAACTAGGCGTGAGAGACAGCAAACAATTAGTATGCTGTTATGTCCTCCAAATTATTTTCTCTTTAGTCAAGTTTGGTTCAACTAGGACCAATAGTGCAGTTTTGAAAGTGTGATAGAAAGCACACTTTATAAAAAACTAATGGTGCAGTTTTGAGAGTTTGGGGAGAAAAAGATGCACTTTATGAAGAGTCCGGATAAGGGACATGCATTTTATGAAAAATTCGAGATAAATTACGATTTTTATGAGTTGTAAAAGAACTAATGGCACAGTACTTTTACAAGTTTAGAAGAAAAATATGGACTTCAATGCTTCATGCATAAAGAGTTCCTGAAAAACAAATGTGATAAAAAAAAATTTAAAAAAAATGTAACGGATAAATCATAAAAGTTTGCAAGTTGTCCCACCTGTATTCGCCAGTCACACCATTTATGGGTCGATGGTCGTAATAATAAATACCCTCTTATAAATTGACCACCTTAATTAAGAAAACATATGTTCTTCAATTTTTACATATAAACGTAAAAATATGGAGTTTTGATGAATTGCACCGGAGTTCCAATCTCCGTCCGGCAATACTTTTGTCCTAATGAAGATGGTCATAAAGACGGTTCCTTTGGCTGAATCTGTTTTGGTTGCCGTGTTGAATATGATAATTGCTTTTTAAGCATTTCACTCTATATTTATCGTGGCAATCAAGACAGATTCTGCTCAAGAAATTATTTTACAAAAGACTTTGAGAGCATTAGCAATGGTGATGCAAAAATAGATTATTGTCACACGCTGACGTGAGATATTCCAACCAATGAAAAATAATTCAGTCACCGAGTGACAAATGAGTGGAGCGACATGCCCTACAGTCGCAAGTCACTACTTTTTCACTTTTTTGCATGATTAAAAATTATTTTATCTATTTATTTTATACACAAAAATAATTCTATTCACTCAAAAAATTACTCCCTCCGTCCCATAATGTTTTACTCATTTACTATTACGGTCTCTCGATAATTCTTATTTGTTTGCGTGATTTCATTGATCATTTGATATGATAAAATATTCTTATCACATCTTGTTTTGTAGAATTTTCGATATAGTTTTTAAATATAAATTTTTTGTTTTGCATTTCTTTACCAATTTGTAAATAAAATCAATTTAAACTTTGCGGGGTTTTGCACGTTGATCGAAATGGGTAAAAGATTATGGGACGGAGGGAGTACATTTTTTATATTTTTTAATTACTGAAATCTGTTTTTCTTATCTACTCTGTATTTTTGTTACCCCTCCTCAAATTAGATTACAATTTTAGGATTGTGATCTAAACTCCTTATTCTTTTAAAATTCTTTTATTTAAAAGTTAGTAAAAGAATAAAAAAAGAACTAAAAAATTATAAAATTACATCAAAAGCTCTACAAAATAAGAGGTAACGAAAAGTTTTATTTTTTCAAATAATCAATGAAAATATATAAATAAACAAAAATTATCGATAGGTAAAATAAAAAATTGTAATATGTTGTGGAACGAATGAAATAATAAATAGTTCTACTCGCTTACAAAAAATATTTTCTTTTTCAAAAACAATTAAAAAGCAAAAGAAAGAGGCCAGGTCCACGCGCAAGCCTCACATACCGTGAAGAAACGGTAATTCCTCGCGAGGCAAATGAAGATTTTGTCCAACGTGGCATGTCGTGGCAAGCAGATGGAATGCCGTTGTCCATGCTCTTATATTGACCTCTTTATCTACAACATGGAGCACAACTACAAAAAATATCAAATTGACTACCCCATTTGCATCGATTTCAGAGAAAACCGATATAAATATGGCAAAATATCTCACCAATTGGTAGTTTTTTAATCGGTTATTAGTAATAACCGATTCAATAGGCTATTGAACTAGTTATTATTGTTAGAAAGTTATCGTACGGATTACAACGGACGGGGAAGATGAACGGCCCCATAATAAAATAAAATAAAAATTCCGAATTTATAATTTATTCAACTTTGATTACAATAAATAAAAAAATCTTCTGATCTTCAAAATAATTGCATGGAAAAACTTTATGCACTAGATTGAAGCTGCAAACTCGGACGCAGACCGTGTGAACAAAATCTACAAAATAGAGCACCGTATAAGGGTAGCGGAATTGCTGCAACTATCCTTAAGGTGATAGTGTCCGCCTACCATATTGGAGAACGTGGGTACTTTCCTCCAAGGATAAAATTGCTATGGTGTGCGGTGGTTGTACGGACCAACCTCACACCTAAGAACAAGAATGTCATCAGAACTTTACCGACCGGAAAAAGATGAAGAGGATAATTAGTCGGAAAAACTAGAGCTCTCTCTAATTCAACTCTCCTTTAATGACTAAGAAAAGTATTAATTTTTTCCTCCTCTTTATCCCACTTACTCACGTATGGAGTGTCTCAAGATGAGAGAGTTTTAACTCCTCTTTAAATAGGCTAGCATGGAAAAGTTTGTAACCTCCAGCATAAGATTAAAACACACTTATTATAGTCATTAGTGGCTCTTATTAGTAGCGTGTTAATGATAGTCATTAACACGTCCGTTACACTATGCTCTGTTTAAATTTTGTCGTGAATAATTAGAGATCAATGGTTAGTTAACTCCGTAAAAATAGACTAGTTTTAAACATTGCATAAAAGTAATAGAAGATTGGTTCAATAAAAATATGCATGTGCATGAATCAACCATACTCTTCTATTTTACCTGGTCAATTTTAAGAATCAATTCACATTCACCCTTCTACCATTTTTTGTGTATAATATATCCAAAAATTTATTTCTCTTTTTCTAAAAGAACACATACCCATTAATTAACTGTTAAAGCTGTTAGTGGACCTATTGATAATTATGTCCAAAGTTGGTATATTTATTTCCTATTAAGATGCCAAAAATTCCAATAATACCCCATACAAATGAAAAATTGATTTGGGGATCGACAACATCAAATGGTTGAAAACGAGCATAGAACAGGTAAGTGTCTCCACTTTCGAACCTATCCCTTGTAAGGTAGTAGGAGGGGGAAGAAGAGAAAAAAAGAAATGAGGTTAAATTGAAAATTTTAAAATATATAAAATTCTATTTTAGCCCAAATGATCGGAAGTTAACCTGGAAATGGGTAAATAGACTTTTAGTGAAAGGATTATGTAAGTTGATGTATATTTGTGAAAGGTTTTAAAGTTTAGCT